ATATGAAAGCTGAATATCTCACCTTTCCAACGAGCCTATTGTGTTTTTATCGAGTCGCCTGCTATGAGCTCTAGAACGTTTTTTTCGTATGTTCGTTTCTTAGAAGAAACTGCCAACAAAATTTTCAATTGAAAATAAACAATTGAAAACTAAAACTTCAAAGTAGTTAGTGCAAGAAAGTGATTATTGCAATTAACAAATCTATTTGATCAAACATTGTTATAATTTTCTACATATTTAAAAAGAAACTCATTAAAAATTATTATTCATATTTTAATCTAATAGCAAAACGAACATATCTTAAACATAAATGATAATGAGTGATTATAACATATTCATAAAATTAACAATTTCTTAAAGTTTCTTTTTTGAATGACTTGAAAACTATTGAACATATTTGAAATTTGAAACAATTAAAACTGAAACTTTAAGGAATAATTACTAAAAAAAAATGTTGTAGTTTGTATTACTTTTCTGAAGTGAGTTAAGTTTAATATAAAGCATTGAATAGTTTATTTTTATGTAAGAATATTTCGCAGAGGAATAAAATGAACCAGAAGAAGTCGAGGACTAAAACGATGGTAACTGCATCAACGACTGTTTCGAGCGTCAACTTCGAGGATTCCGAATACTGAGATTCTCTGGCATTCTCGGTATTTCTGTTACGAATCCCGCTTTCATCGACGATGGTCAACAGCTCGTTGATTCTCGTGATGTACGGTGATAATTTGTGGAAGTAGTAGGATCGAAATCCAGGTACGAGTCTCTCCTCGACGATGTGATAGATTTCGTCGCCTTGACTCTGTTTCATGTACGTTTTGAAGTCTTCCGCGTAAGTCCTCATACAGCAGAAAGCCATTCTATCATGCCTGTACAAGATCCTGCGAATCGCATCTTCCTTCTCCATAATCACGACGTGCGAGGCCAATTCGGGTGGAAGAAGATGCACGAAGTTGCGCTCAATCCCAATAGTTAAATTGCTTTGAATCAATTGTTGAATCGTGGTGATTTCATCGAAGAATTGCTTCGAGAGTAAAACGCCTGACATGGAGTAAGAGTAGACCAGAGACATGATGATGGCGAAGAAGAGCCAAGTGACGAAGAACACGTTCGTCACGGGTTTGTATTTGCGGAAGTTCACGTAAATACCTAACGCCAAGAGGATGCTGAAGAGATCCAACACAATCATCTTGAAGTCTTTACGCTCTATAGCGAAGATTATTATTAGATAGATCACGTAGAGGATGCTGAGGATGTACCAAATCGAAGGATCGTAAACGTGCATCAGTTTGATGTGAGACGGGACTTCTCCGGCTTTCGGAACCATCGCGACGATCTCGTCAATCTTGATCGGTTCGCTGTAGAGGACGTCATCGTACAACCCGTAGAATTGACCGACGAAGCAGAAATCTGCAAAACCTTTGGTCACGTGAAAGTGCGCGACATCGAAATCGTCGGCAACGGAAACATTCAACGTCGCATTCATCGATTTCCCAATCAACTTGAGCACATCTATTGAAGGTCCTACGAACTTCCCATCAACGTACCTCGTCCTCGGCGGATCATGCACCATCACCACCTTCATTTCAGCTTCATGCAAATTCTTGAACTTACGAATCTCGTATTGATTGTTATCCTTCGAATTATACTCCAACTTTCTAGTAAACGGATTATAAACAACATCCTGAATCCCATACTTCTCGGTGAACAGCAACAAACTGTAATTATTGACGCCTCTCCTCCAGATCTCCTTCATGAAACTCAAGACGAAACTCATATTGAAATCGTACATCTTCTTCGTGATCACGAACAGCAACTTGGTTTTCCTTCCAACAGTCACCACTTTCTGCTTGAAGACGTTATTCAACTGCTCGAATCCACCCAAGAACACCGCGTCGATCCTGTTCGTCGCGACGATCTCGTTGCTCAGATGAAAGTCTTTGGTTAACACCACGAAGCTGTTTCTGATCTTGAAATGGACGGGAAGAATGCTGAACCAACGATCGAAGAACGGGGTCGTCTTATTGGGAGCCAAATCGTACAAAACCGTCGTGGAATAATTGAAATCCGCATTGGATAAATACAGTTCTTTTATCAAGTAATCATTGTCGAAATTGGGTATTTCAATTTTACTTTTCCCAGTCGCAAACAGCGAAAGAAATACCACTAATCGTAGATACATCATCTTCACGAAAATTACAGTTAAAAGAAAAGATTGCGACGGTTTATATATCATGCGAAGAGCGTAAACAGTAATTTTAGGGCATTAACGACCCCTTTGGGGATTCTCAAATAACGACCATTAACTTTCTTAATTTCCTTAACAAGTAAATTGATGGCATTTATGTTATAAGATAATCAATACAACAAAAAAACACTTTAAATGTAAAATGTATTAATACTAAATCATTATCATAAAGTGTGCTTTATATTTTGGTGAAAATCTTCAAAGACTAAAAGAGCACACTTATACAAGATATACAANANTAAAGATAAAACTATGTAGAATATAATGCATATACGTTTTTATATATGACTAGTTATGGTAATCATGTAATTGCATTGTCAAAGTTGAACAAAATTATTTTATATCATTGCAATAAAGTGTCTTTACATTTTGGTGAAAATCTCAAAGACTAAGAAGAGCACACTAAATACAAGATATACAAACTAAAGTCTTAAACTACAGAGAATATAATGCATTTGAGCGTTTTATATTGACAGTTATGGTAATCATGTAATTGCATAGTCAAAGTTGAACAAAATTATTTTATTTCATTGGAATAAAGTGTCTTTACTATTTTGGTGAAAATCTCAAAGACTAAGAAGAGCACACTAAATACAAGATATACAAATAAAGTCAAACTACAGAGAATATAATGCAATTTACGTTTTTATATGATGACAGTTATGGTAATCATGTAATTGCATGTCAAAGTTGAACAAAATTATTTTATTCATTGGAATAAAGTGTCTTTACTATTTTGGTGAAAATCTCAAAGACTAAGAAGAGCACACTAAATACAAGATATATAAAATAAAGGTAAAACTATAGTAGAATATAATGCAATATACGTTTTTATATATGATAGTTATGGTAATCATGTAATTGCATGTCAAAGTTGAACAAAATTATTTTATATCATTGCAATAAAGTGTCTTTACATTTTGGTGAAAATCTCAAAGACTAAGAAGAGCACACTAAATACAAGATATACAAACTAAAGCTCAAACTACAGAGAATATAATGCATTTACGTTTTTATATGTGATAGTTATGGTAATTATGTAATTGCATGTCAAAGTTAAACAACATTATTTTATATCATTGGAATAAAGTGTCTTTACATTTTGGTGAAAATCTCAAAGACTAAGAAGAGCACACTAAATACAAGATATGCAAACTAAAGCTCAAACTACAGAGAATATAATGCAATTACGTTTTTATATGTGATAGTTATGGTAATCATGTAATTGCATGTCAAAGTTGAACAAAATTATTTTATATCATTGGAATAAAGTGTCTTTGCATTTTGGTGAAAATCTCAAAGACTAAGAATAGCACACTAAATACAAGATATACAAAATAAAGTTTAAACTACAGAAAATATAATGCATTTACGTTTTTATATGTGACAGTTATGGTAATCATATAATTGCATGTCAAAGTTGAACAAAATTATTTTATATCATTGGAATAAAGTGTCTTTACATTTTGGTGAAAATCTCAAAGACTAATAAGAGCACACTAAATACAAGATATATAAAATAAAGGTAAAACTATGTAGAATATAATGCAAATACGTTTTTATACATGATAGTTATGGTAATCATGTAATTGCATGTTAAAGTTGAACAAAATTATTTTATTTCATTGGAATAAAGTGTCTTTATATTTTGGTGAAAATCTCAAAGACTAAGAAGAACACACTGAATATTAGATAATCAAATTGAAGCTAAAACTATTGAGATTATAATACATATGGTAATCGTCTAATATCAAAGTTTGAAATTACAATTTTAATAATTCTATTGACAGAAATCCAACGTATCCAAGCAACAAATTGATTTGTTTAGTCAATACGTGTAAGATGTTTTGGGGTTTAACACCAAGCGTAGATCTTCTGGAAGATCTGGATGAAAATCTGGAGACTGTGAATATACTGTTAGTGGGAAGTGCGGATCTGAGACACGTGCTGAAAACGCTGGCCAAAAGGTACACTCATAGACATGTCAAAATCAACTTCTTCTTGATGGAGCTCGTACCAGAAGTCGTGGCTAAGCAAATGTTACTCCTCGACACGGCTCTTCATCGAATCGATGATCTCGGTTTGGTACCAAAGACGAGGATCTTCATGGAGCTCTTCGGCAACATGCTGATACGTCCGATCACCGCCAAACATCTGTTAAACCGCTCCAAAGAGCTAATAGAGATGATCACCGATTTCAATTACTTGAAGAGACTGTTACCATGCGTAGATTTGGATTTAAAGTACAAAGAACGTGATTACATAGAGAACGTCTTCAAGTTTTGGAGCAGTCAGGATGAATTCGACGTTCACTATTGCTGGGATCGAAGACTGAGGAAGACTTTAGGTGTTAGATATGACACGAGAACGGGTGTTTTCGATTGGGATTTGCATATGAGATTGCACGATATCGGAGGCAAGCAGATCTGCCCTTCGGAATACACCTCGTTCAGATCTTGCGGCGTAGCGTTCACCTGGTTAGAATCAGAGGTGTCGAAGCCTAACAGATCCATGGTTACGGGTCTTCTGACCAATGGAGATCAGTTCGGGCATTACGGTTACCTAGGCGATATGCAGACGGGTCCTTTCGTTTCTTACGGTTTGCAGTGCGAAGACCCAGAGTTCCTCAAGAGGACGAACACGATGAACAAGTACAGAGCCACGGATCTGACGGAGAGGAATTTGCGACAGATCTTCCACGAGATCGAATTTCAGAGCGAATACTCGCACAATTCGCATACGGATTTAGGGTACGGCGGATGCGTCGCGCAACCTGATTTGAAAGTCGTCGATTCGAGCAACATTGAAGTGAAGAAGTTCACCAAAACCGAGAAACGAATCGAACTGATAGACGTGCAAATACACTTTTGGTCTATAGATCATCTAAAAATGTTCAAACACAAGGAGAAGTTCAAGGATTTTTTCAACTTGATTTACTTTGCTAACGGTTTTGTTAAATATATAGAAAAGGACACTCTGTTACACATATCTTCAAGCAATTGCAAATTGTTAATCGAAAATCCGCTGTTCGTTGTGAATTACAGAGAGAAGGAGTTGAAAGAGTACAACGATTCGATTATGGAAAAGTTGAGCGATTTGGAGATGGAAGCAGATCCGTTCGATCAACTCAAAGATTTCCATATGAGATTCACCATTAGCAAATGATGAAATTACTTAACTAAATGAAAACTACTGCTAGTACTTTAGTTTCTAAACAATTGTAATTTTTAATCTTCGATAAAATTCATAAATACATAGATTCAATCAATTATTTAATATATATATATTCATTTATTTGTATAAATATGAACGGCAGTTTTGATGCTCCGCTTTTGCTGCTTGCTACCTATAAATATAGTAATTATAGTGAACGAACGAATAGATGAAATGTAATTAAAATAAAATTATTATAATATTAGCCTTGTTAATTAATTAATTAATCGCACAAACAACACTTTCGGTCGTTTCTTTTGTAAATTATTTATTAAAAATAAAGCATCCGTGCATTTAAAGAATATACATAGAGCATTGTTTTTTTCCTTTCGTAACAGAAGTGTTTTTCCTCTCGACTTTCTTTTTTCTTTCTAAATTTATATAATTTTCTGTAGTTTAAAAACCTAAAAAAATTGACAAATCTAATGCATTAAAAAAATAATAATGTATTTAATTATAAGTAGTAATCATCTTCAGTTGAAATTAAGCAGAATTGATGTATTTTTTTCGCTTCTTCGACTTCTCATCGTTAAATAATAATTTCGGTATTTGGTGCTGTAATTATTAACCTTCCTGGCCGAAATCTTCTGTGAACTTTTGCAATTTCTTCAGATCCTCGTCGTTCACTGTAGGTTTGGAGGTTGCCAACGAGCGAATCACGTCTCTCTGAAAAAACGTCAAATCACGATCAGTTTGTGTTGATGAAACTAAAACGCAAAATTAATTTACCATCGTGACTGGAGGTTCCAAGAGTTTATCCCCGTCGACGTCCATCCAAGTCATCTCCTTGGCTCCGTCATCGCCGGGAGAGCACGGAGTGAGCAGATCATCCATGATGATATCCTTGTTCTTCGGACTCGGACCTGTGGCGTACCTGAAATGCGTCGCCGTTTGCACTTTACGCACCGGCTGCATGAGAGCGTCCCGCACGACGATACTAATATCCGCTCCGGAATATCCTTCCGTCTTGCTCGCCAGCTCCTTCAGATCCTCCTCGTTCAACTGCGTCGGTGTATTGCCCAAGTGAATCTTGAACATGGTGAGACGGGCGTGCTCCTCTGGTAACGGAATATAGATTCTCTTCTCGAAACGTCTGCGGATGGCCGCGTCCAAAACCCACGGGATATTCGTGGCGCCCAGCACCAGGATACCGTCCGTATCGTTGCCGACGCCCTGCATTTGCACCAGGAACTCGGTCTTGATCCGTCTAGCAGACTCGGACTCGTTTTCCGAACGCGATGAGCAGAGCGAGTCCACCTCGTCGATGAAGATGATGCTCGGTTTGTGAGCTCGAGCCAATTCGAACAGATTCCTCACCAACTTCTCGGATTCACCCAACCATTTGGACACCAAATCGGAAGAGGAGACGGAGAAGAACGTGGAGTTGTTCGCTTCCGTCGCGACGGCTTTCGCCAGGTAAGATTTACCAGTTCCTGGAGGCTAAAACGAGAAAAAAAACATTAGTTTGTCAAGATAATAAAGCGATTAACGTGGTCGCCTACACCGAACAGTAAAATTCCTTTCCAGGGTATCCTCTTTCCAGTGAAGAGATGCGGGAATTTGATTGGTAGAATTACGGCCTCTTTTAACGCCTCCTTCGCTGCATCCAATCCTGCTACATCCGACCATTTTACGTGCGGTTTCTCCACAACTATGGCTCCCTCCAGTTTACTCTGCAGCTTCTTCTTCTCCGGATCATCACTATCACTGTCACTGTCGCTCTTCTTATCATCCCTACAAAATGCAAATTGACAATAATTTTATATCGAGAACACCAGTAAAACTCACTTTGATTCAGATTCCCCATCCTTGATGGGCTTCTTGTGGCCCTTCTTCAGAGATGCTTTAATCTTCTCGGCCCGCTCCAAGTACTGGCAGCATTTGGCCCTGATGCTGTCCTTGGCCTTATCCCCCTGGGCCTCGTCTGCATAAAAAAAAATTAATATTGTATAATTTGCTGAACAGGAGAGGTCAAGGCCACAAATCAGACTCACATTTGATCGCATGCAGGAAGTACTCGACACCATGCTCGTACAGCCTCTGGGCCTCCTCGTAGTTCTTGTTCCTGTCCTCCTCTGTTGCCTTAGTCACTAATTCTATGGCCTTTTGTAGTGTTGTGCCCTGGGCCATCTTTATCCACCCCTATTTTCACGTTTTCACCAAACAGGAGACTCTACGTTCTGTGTGCTCGCTTCCTGCCCAATTAATGCAATTACATTTACCTGTCTTGCTAACACTAATTACAATGCACTATACATGACAAACTCTGAGAGAAATACAAAAAAAAAAGTATTTTTCCGGGAACTGTCAAAATTCGTGACAAATGACAGATGTCAGGGAGGTTTGGTCATTACCCAAAAAAGAAATGATTTAAAAATATTCCCATCTAATTTCTATTCAATTTACAATAAAAAACGAACTATTTATTCGATTACAAGAGCTAAACCATAATAACCAATTAAATTTAAGCTATCACCACGCCTTATCCTAGGCTTAAAGTAATCCTAATCCTAGGATTATGTTACTATAGTAACATACTTTCAAATAAATTTAACGCTAACGCTAACAATTAGTTAACAAGTACGAATATTAATTTGAATATTCTCTAGTTTATGATATTCATATTTAAAAACATGTCTGTTTCGTTTTTCAATTGCAATTATTTATTAGAAAATAAGTTTTTTATCTTTAAATTTAAATAAATATGTCTCGAAGTATTCAATGAAACTTCCTCTTGTGCTGATCCCTCAAGTAAGTATAATCACGATCGTCCGTGCCTCTGACCAAATACAAATAGAAACTTAATATAACGGCCAAATGAAACCGATCCAAACTGAAACGCAAAGCAATAAGAAAATTATGGTTTCGTAGATGCAATCTGAATCTCACCTCATGACAGGTATAGCCCAGAAGATGAGGAGGAATGCAACAAAGAATCCTTGATGTCTCATATGCAAATACAACTTTTGCAATTCATAAGATTTGTAGCTCATTGGATCAGGCAGATTCTGTATACTGTAGTACACCTGTTTCAGACCCAGAAGTTCATTGATGTCCATGTAAATGCAGTCACTGTAGATGATGAGCCAGGCTAAAGCGTGCATCAACATCAGGGCATAATACACCCTGCCATTGTCAGTCTTCCACAGCACATACTCGGGCACATGCTCCCAATAATGGGTCATAATCTACGAAAAAAAAACAGAATCACAATAATTATTTGTATAAAAGGCATCCACACTAATCATATATACTAATAAAACCACACACGTGGAAATGATATAGATGCTCCTCTGGATGTCCTTCAAATTGAACCTCTCAAAGAAATCCTTCACCGATTGCATAGCCATAAAGGTGTGTTGGTAAATGAAGAGTGTCAATAGGAACATGTTCTTCAAGCAGGGCCAACTCAGATCATGCCAGGTGACATCTGTAAGTTAAGTATGATTAGGGGTTTAAGTCAGCTTTTTTTTTGTTCAGTTTTACCAGTCTTGATTTCCTTCTCATGGTAGTTTGGGTAGGAGATGAAGAGCATCAGGTCGATCACAGTGTAGAAGGTGGCAAGGACTCCAGCCGAGGCCACGGAGATCTTGCATATTGAACCTGCACCCCACATGCTGTCTCGAAATCGAAGCCCACGGTAATAAACAAAAATTCAAAAAAACCACATATATATATATATAGTTATGTATCCGTCCTACATAGGTGGCTGTTGTGTATACATTCGAGACTATATATAAATATACGTGACGCTAATAGAACACGAAGCGCTTTCGTTGAGAATCGGTTCTTTCCGTCGAGACCTCAATTTCACGGTTACTTGAGAGATGGCGATGAAATATTTATACAAGATTTTAACATTTACCGAAGAGAAAACTAAAGTAAATGCATGGAATTTAATCAATAATTCTGTAAGAGTATTTATAAACTTTGAATGTTTTTTTTATAATTATTGGAGGATCAAAAGAATCAATTAATGGATTGTGAACATATCTGATGTTGTTAATTAGTTGTAATGTTGATTTTTCTGTTAATTTAACATTGTTTTTTTTAATTGAATTGAATTAATGTGATTCCATTTTGAATGTGGCGGGTTTCTGTGAAGTAGATGTCGCCACACGCATCCGCTTGATGGCATCCGATTGGCGTCGGCCATTATTTACTGTATTTCCCATTCATTCCGTTGCAGTTCGTCCTAGAAGCAAGTGAAATTGGTTTTTTCTGATACAGTTCGTGCCTGTGCAGCTGCGAAACAGCGAGGTGCAGGTGAATATGCTCTTCCACTGATTCCGGTGAAAGCTGGTACAGTATTGGTTCTTCGATCTCGGAAAATCGACGAAAATGACGCAATTCCTGCCGCATAATCTGCTGGCGTTGTTCGCACCACGCGAACCCATCCCATATTTACCACCCGCGAGTAAATTGCCGCACGAGAAGAAGAATCGTGGTTACGCAGGGCTCGGAGCCTTCATATCGCAGTTCGAGGTAAGTTTTGCATAATAAGACTGTATTTGTTCATGGGAATAATCGATAATTGCATCATCGTAGGATCCCAAAGATACGCCTCCCCCGACACGTGTCGAAACAAGGGAGGAACGCATCGAGAGGCGACGCAGGGAGAGAGCCGAGCAGGTTGCCTATAAACTGGAGCAGGAGATCGCCGTGTGGGATCCGAGTAGTCAGGATATCATCACAGAGGATGCCTTCAAAACGTTATTTATTGCTAGAATTGTAAGTGCATTTCGAATGCTCTCTGAATTATATTTTTCACTTTGCTTTGACTTATCGTTAATTACTTTTTAATTGCAGAACTACGACACGTCCGAATCGAAATTGCGGAGAGAATTTGAGATTTATGGAAACATTAAAAAAGTAAGTCTATTGCATAATCATCTAAGATGAAATTCATATTGTGTTTATTTTATTGATCATATAATTCATGGATTAATAACTATTTGGTAATCATCTTGAAACATGAATATTCATTGTGGGAAAGTAAAAGAGACTTGTTTAAATCAAGTTATAAGTAGATTTTATAGATAAAAAACAAGTATTTGTTAAAAATAATTTATTTGTAAAAACATAAAGTCTTTGATGTATATACCTGGCTTGTTCAAGGATACATTGTAATTACCCTAATGTGTTCTTATGTAAACCCAGGAAGAGAATCATCCTTACCCTATTAATTTGTTAACAAGTAATTTTAATGTTTTTGAATTGCTAGGGAAGTGACATGAAAAGTATTGAAAATAGTTATTTAGAAAAAAAGCGCAATTCGTTTGAAATTAAGTTTGTATTTTTTTTTCTTTGTTATTTCCAGATTATTCTAATTCTGAACATGGTGAATGGTAAACCAAGAGGATACGCCTTCATCGAGTATGAGCACGAAAGAGACATGCATTGTGAGTACCCAATATCAATGACAGGCCAAAGTTAAAGAAATAATGAGCAAAAATAATCATATCAAAATAAAACACTTTAAAAAGCGAATCATTTTCTTGCGCTTTGGGTAAGGAAGATGCAAGGAAAAGAAATATCCGTTCAGAAAACAATTCTCAAGAACACCTTTCGTATTCTCGCTTTTATTTTTCTAATTTCCATCACTTTTTTTTTGTTTATTTTGTTTGGTGTTTTCGGTACACGAAATTTTTAAGGTGTTTTATTTTTGGGATTTGAAGAAGGAAAAAAAATACAACCCGCGAGAAGTGTTCGATTTAGCGATTCGATGATGATGATATGTAGCCAGCAACGTCCGCCCAAGTGTCTTGCAAAAAATATTGATTTGATAATATTTTTTTTTTCGAAATAATGGATGAAATTAATACGTAGTTTTCTTATTTTTTTGTACAGTCCGAGCTGCAGGCAACTAGTGCCGTTTGCCCTCAAACTTCCGCTTTTTGCTGGCTATATAGGTTTGTATGTGTGGTAAGAACCCTGCATACAAATATTCAGACATTGTTTGTTGGGGTTTTAAAAGCAATTCTCTCTCTCTCTCTAAAAATTAATAATTCAATGATCAAACAGATGGAAAAAATGTATTATATCAATTCAGTTCGGTCACAGTCAGCTCACATTAACACAAAAGTATGTTTTTTTTAATTATTATTATTTATTTTGTTTGGATACGAGTTTAAAACGATTTTTTTCGAATTGCAAATTGTTTGTTCAATGAAGGGAAATTAAATAATAGTAACTAAAAGGTTTGCGCGCGTATGTAAGTAATTTTGCGCACCAGGTAAACAAACTAGTAAACAAATCCGATCATAAACGAAAAAAAAAATTATACGATATAAATGCGTGTGTTAAAATGGAAACACTTGCCTCGCCGCCAGCAAGCTCTTAAATAAACTTAATTCTATCTCAATTTGATGTTAAACGTATTACGTAAGTAACATGGTAGGTATATTTCAATTATACCTATTTAAAACGAAAAGAATACACGAAGTACAACATGCTCGAAAAAGGACATATTAATAATTAACTGCAGCGAGTTAGGGACACTCTCGGAATCTTTTTTTTTGTTATTTCTTTTGGTTTTTTATTCTATTTTTATTTGTTCTTATTCAAGTTTTTTTTGTTGTTGTTAATTATAACTTAAGAAGCCAACGAAAAGCTTTCGAAATTTTACCCAAATTTTATGAATCATGTAACTTGTTAAATGAACGAATAGCCAGAGAATGTAGAATCCAACTTTTGCAATTGTTCTCAAGATGAACTCTTTTGCACAAGATGATTTTATTATTCATATTTTTGTTTGTAGCTTGCTTTTGTTATGCATTAATTATCCAGATATTCCCTTGCAGCTGCTTACAAACACGCAGATGGTAAGAAAATTGATGGGCGTCGAGTGTTAGTTGATGTTGAAAGGGCCCGCACCGTCAAGGGATGGCTACCGAGGCGTCTAGGTAACTATTCTTATAAACTATTTAGATCTAAGCAATTGCATTGTTGTATTGATGCGTTCATTGTTATTGTATGGACGTATGAATGCGATGGTGCTATATCATTCAGTGAATTCCAAAGTGATATATGTCTTATTATATCCCTATTTCACCTCACTTACATTACTTTAATCAATCATTTAAATTGTTTTTACGAGTGTTTACAGTTTTACTAATATTTTCGTTTTGTTTTAAGGTGGAGGCCTCGGTGGTACGAGAAGAGGCGGGCCTGATGTAAATATTAAGCATTCGGGTAGGGAAGATAATGAAAGGGAGCGCGAGAGATATAGATTAGAAAGGGAACGCGAAGAACGAGGCGGTGCCGGCGGCGGCGGTGGAGGAGGAGGAGGCGGCGGAGGTGGAGCCGGTGGTGGTCCAGGGGGACGTGAAAGGGATCGCGATAGGGGAGGTTTGGGAGGTGGAGGAGGAGGAGCAGGGTTCGAAAGGCGGCGGTCTAGATCGCCGCGTGACAGAAGGAAGCGCAGCCGCTCCCGATCTCCGCGTAGGGAGAAGAGGAGGCGCAGCAGGGACAGGGCTAGGGCCGACACTGAGCTTGACGACACCGACCGCCGGTCGAGGGACAGAGACAGGGAAAGGTAAGAGTATAATGATGATATGCTTCCAGAGATTGTTAACTAACAGTTTGTATTCCTTTTTTTTTTGTAGGGACAGGGATCGCGATCGTGATCGTAAACGCAGGCGTTCAAAGTCGCGCGATCGTGACCGTGATCGTGAACGCAAACGCGAGCGAAGGGAACGTAGGGAGAGAGAAAGAGGCGAACGACTGGAGTTCATCAAGACCGATGAAGGTGGAGAGGTTAGAATTAAGGAGGAACCTTTGGATGGTAAGATAATGCAATTTTTTTTTTATCTATGTTAAGTTATAATTTGTCCTTTGGAATAACTCCAATTACTGATATATTATCTGCTTTGGGGGATATTTAGTTTGTATGAAAAACTGAAAACGTTAATCAGTATGCAATGATTTATCACATCTAAAATCAACAGTTCTAAAACCATCAAAAAAAGAACAAAAACTGGAAAGGATCAAATGCATATTTAGATACTGATAATGCTTTTCAGTTACAAATTGGTGTGTTGTTTTAATAGCTGCAATATAGCTTTAATTATCTAATTCATTATCATATAAGGCTTCGTCATGATTAATCCAAGATTTCATCAATCACCTCATTTTGCTTTATGCAGCGTTTGGATTAGTATAACTATATTGCTAAATCAATAATATATGGAGGTAACAGGGCCATTAGCCGCTAAGTTTTGGCTATCTGGTAGTAAACACCTTCAACATTTTTAACGTTTAACACTTTAATCAATGCAGTAAAGCTGTATCAAATAATAATTCAAACCGTTTCCGTTTTACAGATTATCCGGATTATTCCCAATATCAGCAAAACTATGACCAGTCCAACGTAAAGTACGAACAGGAGGACGAACAAAAGTATGAGCCGGACAATACGAACGGCAATACTAGACCACAACATTACGAAGACGACGAGTACGAGGAGGGTGAGGCTTATTAAAACTAATTTAATTTAATATTTTTGTATAAAGTGGTAATAGTTCTTAGAATGTTTCCTTATAAGCATACATACACACACACATATATATATATATAAATAGTTAGATAGTTTCTCCTTGTCATGACAACAAGCATATAATTTATAAAGAATAACATTACAATTTTTATTTTAAGTGCTTGACGAAAACAAATAAAATCGCATTCTGGTTTCACAGAAATAAACAAAACCTTCGAATTATTATTATTGTTTGTTTCCACCTTTCCGTAATAATCCTTGTTTCTTCTTTATGCGACGTTGATTAAAATGTAATTTAAACAATTACACAGCAGTTTTTTGATTAATTTATTCTTATTTGATAATCAGCAAACTTCATTCTGCTTAGTCAAGGCTGAGCATTACCACAGATTACAGTAAAATTTTCGTTACATTCCTAAACGAAATTTGCGAAAAAAAAGATGTGCATACTCTTTGTTTACACAGACCCAGCCCCAAAACCTGGGGGCTACAGGATTGTGATTGCCTCTAATAGAGATGAAACATATAGTAGGCCTGCGGCTGCAGCCCACACCTGCGAGAAAACCAATGTAATTGGTGGTAGGTAAGAAATCAGGAATGGACAAACATAATGCAATTTAAATAAATCCTAAAAAAATAAATAACATTTGATTAATTATTCTTTTAGGGATATGGAGGTAGGTAGAGAAAATGGAATGTGGCTGGGGATATCCCCAAAACGAACCGAGCATTGCAGGTTTCGGTTTGGGGCTCTGCTGAATGTCACCGGGGAGGAGAAAAAGAGTGGTGTTAAAGGTAGAGGATTTATTGTAACAGATTTTTTAAAAGGTAGTGACATGGCCGAACAGTATGTAGACTGTCTGGAAAAGAGTGAGGAAGTACTTAACTCTTTTAACTTTGTGGCTGTTGAATTGAGGTTATTTTTGCACTTGAATTTAAACTGCGCACCAGTGTATTCTAAAATTAGATATTTGCTTATTGGTGTTTTAGTGATGGACACGTGAAGACATATCACACGAGCAATGCTCCACCTGGATGTAAAGTATTCGAAGGGAAGCAGGTCATGGGATTTGGGAACAGCACGTGTGAGAGTCCCCTGCAGAAAGTGCAGGCTGGGAAGGAAAGGTTCTTAGAGATTATCAACAGGAATAATAGTAAAGAGCGGAAGGATGAATTGTATAAGGAATTATTGGATCTTTTGCGGTGGAGGAAGAAGTATACTGTTTGCAGGTTAATTGTATTTTGGTAATTAATTAACTGTAATTCTAGACATTTGCCGGATGATGAATTGAGCAGGAGGGCTCCGGGTATAGTGGATAAGCTGTGCCAGGTTTATGTAGAATTCATAAGTGCTGGCTATGGGACTAGGTAACATTTGATGCGAGAGATTACGCAATGCGAGTTCAATTTTTGATTAATTTTTAGGACGCATTCTATAATTTTAGTTGATTACGATTGGAATTGCGATTTCATAGAGGATTCTATGAAGGAGCCAATAGATCCGAACAATCCTTGCTGGGGCAACGTTAGAATATCGCCACGACTATAATAATCGTAATAACAATAATTAATTTAGTCAATTCATATTCTTTGCTCAACTACATGTAATATTTATTGACTTGGATATTTTCCATTTTATTATATAGAGCATTTTAACAAAATTTTCTTTTATTTTAATTAAAGTAAGGAAATTGAGGATGAAATAAGGGTTTGCTTTTACTTAATTTTGACTTTATTCGTAGTATATATCCAAAAGGTACACGCTATAAACACGAATTGTAAAATACATTTAAAAAATGGTATAGAAACGACCGGTTTTTTTCTTTTCTTTTGCGAATGGAATAGAGTGCAGATCTTCGATTTACTTATATGGAATAGTGAGGCGGAAGTCAATAAAATGACATTCCTTTAACTTATAATATATATATTACTTCTTTATGTAGCGTATTTCCATCCCTAAATGCTAAATATCTCAGTTAATTTTAATATCTTCGATAAAAGTACATTCAAATTGGTAACTAAATCGGTCAACGTACACGACGCAATGTATCTCCTCTATTAATAAAAAAACACACAATAACAGAGGAAAACTTTGCATCCAAAATAAAAAAAATACCACCTAATAACATATATATATATCTGCTTTCATTTCAACATGCAATACTAATAATTGTATATATATATATAGATAGATAGAGAGAAGCGTTTTCTTGCGTTCGTTTAATCTTCAATCATCGATGAATCCAATAATTATGGTTTTTTTTAATATCCAAGCAATTAAAAATTAAAAACAAAAAAGAACGTACACGTAAACAGCTGACAATTCTAACTATGTAATCGTATCGTAAGACTAGAAATGGCACATATTTTCTTTGAGGAAACGAAAATTAAAATACTGATTTTTTTTTTTGTTTATTACTTCTTAAAATTGGGAGGTGGCCGCGTTTTTTTTTGTTTTTTTTAGGAACCCATCCGAGGATCGAAAGTAGTATTTTTTTTTAATTGACGACTTAATTGGAAATAATATTAATTGGAGATTTGTGCGAACGATTTAAAGAATTAAGGGCGTTTTGTTGTGATAGGATGGTACTCATCGATGTAACGGATTATCCTCTCCGCGATCAACTCTATGTGATCGTTGCACGACACGAGATTACTCAACGAGTTCAAGACGGTGGAAGTTCTTATGTCCGCCAGAAGCATCTTGTTGCGTGCCATCTGATCGAGTAAGGTCATTATGTTGCTTACCGTTTCCTCCTGGAACTTCTCGCCGTACTTGTCCAGCATAAAGCTTATGTTCTTGCAGATGTCTGCTTCCAAGAGCATCACATCTAAACTGGTGGATCCGGTGAGACAGCTGGCGCAGAGCAGGTTCAGAGCTAGGAGAGCTTCGTTCTGCATGACCGGATGCATGGAGCACATCATCTCCACCAAGCATTTCACCGATTTCGGAATCCTGAGCACCGACGGATACGATGTCGGGGAGTGGCAGTTCTTTATGAGCCAGGCGAGAAGCCTCGGCGCTTCGCCTCTGACACCCAGATGCTCGGAGTAACACCAATCCACCAATTTCCCAACGAAATCGGTGCGCTCGATCAATTCCGCCGCGGTTTTCTCTGAAAAAAAAACAAATCGTTTCAATTAAAAACAATCCACGTAAATTTATAACGTTAACAGTAATAATACCTTGTCCATCGACGACCATACGCAAAGTACCCAAAAGCTTGAATTCAACTGGTGACTGATTGATGTTCAACATCGACAGCAGAATGTCCACCAAGTTTTCATCTAAAAGCTTCGACTTGTTCTCAGACGGAATGCTCAAGTTTCTCAGAGTGCTCAGAAGAGCGTGCTGCACTTTAGTATCGGCATCGTTCGAATAATACTTGAGGATGCCGAGCAACTTCTTCGCCAAACCATCGTCCACCAATTGGATGCAATGCTTATCGTTCCTGGCGAAATTCCCTATTGCCAAAATCCCCGTACTAAGCAGATCGACATCTTCGGAATTTAACCAGAACACCATCTGCTCGTACACTTTTCCTTTGCCGTTATCGTACAGAAATTCCATGGACGCATCTATACATAAAAAAAAAATAATAATTTCAAATTTAATTCCTTTTAGTTTTTATAACGCGCGCTAACCTCCAGTTAAGATTACTACTATTAAATCGCAGGCCATCTTCAGTATGGATCTGCTGCCTTCATCGTCCACATGAGAACCGTACCTCTGTACCAAGTCATAAACCAATTCGCAAGTTCCTTTATGCGCCAAGGCCAGTTTAATTTCATCTGAAACATGAAAAGAAAAAACATTTAAAAAAAAATTATTGTCAAGTCATTTTGCGTATTGATAACGTACCGCTTTCTGATTGAATTCTCAAAACCTCCAAGCACATGCAGGATATCTCTGGGTTTATGGAGACCTTCAAGACATCAACCAGAACTTCAACTGTAGACAATGGCAACCATGCATCGATCAAATGCTCGCACATCATGTTCAACACGAATATCAAATGACCGATCGTGTTCTCCATGGTATCGAACTCGGCGATGTTGTGCTTGATCACAGTCTCGAACAGTTTGGCCACTTGGAGCTCGATGCAGGCTTTCAGCAAATCATCATCTGACATGACTAAGTTCATCATGGCTCCGCAGCATATGCAAACTGTTTTGTTATCAACTGTCTCGGGATCAAATTGCTTCTTCAAGATATCGATCAACGCTTGCAGGCCTCTCCTGCCAATCAGCTTTCTTGCCACTGAGTTCTCGAAGCACAAGTTCCCGATGGCTCTCATCGTGTGCATCACTACATCAGCATTTGCGTTCGACAGCAGATTGACCATCGAGTTTGTGACTGCTGGCACAGAGAATGCAGGTCTGTTCTCTGGAACCTTGCACAGTTCCGCTATGGCATCAGCCGTGACCCTGAGGATGCGGTTATCTCTGTGGACGAGCAAGTCGTCGAAATATCCGGATTTCTTTACCTTGAATTCGGAGCTGTTCTTGACGACTCGCATCAGCTTCTTCTCGGTCGACTCGCAATCCTCCGATGCGATGCAGGTCATTACCTCCTCCAATAGTTCCTCCATTTCAGTTCTTCTGGTATCTCTTTTTTAACAACAGCACTCGACAACAACAATATTCAATTAAAACATAACCTACTGCGCTGCTCGCTGCACTTCCTGCAATTCCTCTTTGACGGATTGTTGGGAGTGGAGTAAAGGGCGGAGTGGGAGTGGAAACGAGTGCAACCTGAAGTCAACACAGGTACAAATTCAAACTCACCTAAATACAAATTTAGCCTAGGCAATATAAGCACAAAGGTGTAATTTTAATTACATACGTTAAAAGAATTTCAACTTAATTACGATCTCGCTAAATCAAGTTTATCGACTTATGGCCCGCGGGCCTCTTTCGGCCCGCATCCATTTATTAACATAAAAAGGCATGCATTTGAATGCTCTATTGTAGGATATTATTGATAAAGTATTAGAAGATGATTACAATATTCGATTCATATAAAAAGATTTATTAAATAAACTTAATTTACAATTTTCTTAAATACTACAGAGCTGACGACGCTGCCCACCTTTCCACCGAACTTGAACTGCGGCGTCGGAATGTGCTTGTAATACACGAAAGCGTCCTCAAACTGTTCGCACAGCTCCTCCTGAGTCCAATTGCAAGAAGTGATTATGAACAAACCATTGTCTTTCATGAACTTGCAAACGTTCTTGATGTATTTCAATCTGTTCTCCTTAGCCTCCAGCGATAGACTAATAGCATCGTAAGTCCCCTTATCCAGCACTACATCAATATCACAGATTCCAGAGCAGTCAGCCGTGATGTCCAGTGTATCGAAGGCTATATCAAATTCCTCCTTGCCTGCAATCTCCTTCGCCAAAGTGATGGCACCCTGACAGTAATCTACACCTTTCAAGTTCTTGAAGCCCTCTCGATAGAGATCTATGAGCAACATGCCATTGCCACAGCCTAAATCCAGGATGCTCTGAGATGGATCGACGTTCTTCTCGAACCATCTGAGTATTCTCACGACGATATCGTCGCCGAACCACACCTCTCCCACATCACCGTGTGTCCGGAAATTCTTCACCTCATGCTTGTACCGTTTATCCCAGTATTCTTGGGTTCCCAGCTCAGATTCACCCAATTCTTCCATCGCAATTTATAGGTTACAAAACCGATAGAATCGAATATCTCTCCGTTCGGTTTAGATCTGCTGCAGCGAATTATCAAATATTCAGCTCTAAAAGAAGGTTAAAACAATTATTTTAATCTATCCACAATTAATTGCAGGTATTTATAAGATTTATTGTGAAGTAAGTTTTGTGCAAGTTGCAATTTTAACTGATTTTAGGTTAGACGAGATGTCTTACAAGAAAGTTGGATCTTTGTTCCTAACAGAGAAGGGAAAAACCGTTTCCCTTTGGTTTATGGGAAGTATAGGAGTTGGGGCCTTCTGCGCTCAATATATCCCTCACACTTTATTGATTAATAAATATGTGGATGTAATACATTTATACAAGTAAATAGAAGAAGATAACTGAAGATTTTTCAATAATTTTGGTTTACTTTCTTTAGGAACGGAATTGCTGTGACACTGAACTCGAAATTAGTGGAAAGATTTAACAAGGCTCTTGTATATGCTGATGTAAGCTGTTCTCTGTTAACGAATTGTGGATGAAATGATGATTTTGTTGCTTCAGGTGCCAGATCAAGATGTTAAATTGTATAAACCTTTTGCCATTTTTGGATTTGATATCTCTCATGTGGGTATGTCCTTCAGCAAGTACGGTTGTCAGGTGGGAATTCCTGTTAATTTCAATTATGTGAGTGCTGATACTGTCGATAAGAGCACTATTAAGGTATATTAAGTTAGCCATTAACTATCTACGTAATTGATGAGTATTGCTTTAGATAAAAGGTGAATCGGTTGCTTGGTCGACGGACGAAGCCGAGCAGTTCTTGGACTCTGTAGTTCTTTCGGAAAATGCTCAAATATATGCGATGGCTCGTGAAATTAAGATGTCGCAGACTTTTAAGCTTATAGTGGACGCAATCTGCGGTCCGTTGTCCGTGTTTGTAGCGTACGGCTCCAGCGTTTTCCTCAACGGAAAGTTCAATTTGTACCCGAAACCGATGGGCGTGCGGCTGGTGATGTACGCGCTCGTGGGAACGTTCACGTTTGGAAACTACCTCTTCATCAAAGACTTCAACCAGTTGTATTACGAGTCGTACGTGGACAAGGAGTTGAAGGCGAAGGATCCGAGGCTGGTGGAAGGAGCCAAAGAGTTTTACGAGAAGATTCTGAGAAGGAATCAGGCGTTGAGGACACTGATGGGAAGCGAAGGCGAGGATTTCTATACCGTGCACGGAAACGAGAATTACTCGTTCAGGCAAAGGCATTTACCGCTCGTTCAGAGATTAGACTTTTTCAAAGAGAAAGCGCAAACGGAGGAGTTGAATTAAAGACACGCAAATTGCAGTTTCAGAACTGAAAAAACAACAATTGATGGAGCAAATACTATGTTTTCAATTCTCCAATGTTTTCTCTAGTAGTTTTTAAATTTCAGATAATTTATTAATAAAATAAGATAGAAAATTCATATTACTTAAATACATAAAACTTAATTAAAATATCTTTCAAGAATTAGCGTTCATATTAGATAATAAGGATATCTAATAAGTTATGTAAGATTTAAATATTTTGTTATTGCTGCAACCAAATATACACAGCTGCAACGCGGGTCATCGAACTCGTCGCAACAAATTGAGCAATTTCCATCGCAAATTATATTTTATAATTAAATTAAGAAACTGTTGTTTTATATCATATATTTTTTTTTATTGAAACTATTTTTAAATATTTTTTTTTTAAATATATATATATATATAAAAACTGAACACTGCGTTTGATGTTTGCTGTTAACTCGTTTCGTTTTTGCTTTGTTTTCCAATTGCAATTTTGCAATGAAAGTTTTTATTCTTCTACAACTTCTTCAATTCTTCCCTCCCCAATCATCTTCATCGTCTCATCATCATCATCATCTAAATAATAATAATTCCATACATAGGTGCATATACAGAATATAAGAGAAAAAAAAATGTACAAATAATTTCTTACATTAAGAACTTATCCACTAATTAGTTACATCATAATCAATAATAGTAAATAAAAGAAAGAGAAAAATAAAATCGCCTTCAAGCGATCGCGACTATTTGGGATGTGTAAAGAGAATCAATCAATCCTGAACAGTAATCATAACAATTATAATAAAAAAATCAAATCGTAATTCGCATTTGAACAAAAAATTAAATGTAATCCGAGTGTTTGTTGTGTGTGTGTGTGTGTCTTCTATTTTTTTTCTTCCTTCATTTTCCTGAATTAGTTTATATACAAAAATATATATATAGTTTTTTTTTTGCTTTCGAAAATAAAATGACGTTATTATTAATATATAAATAAAGAAATTATAATGAGCTAATAAATTCATTTAAATTATTTGTTTTCTGTGTGTGTATTCCTTTTTT